TCAATTTTATTTCTATACTGTCCAACAACCAAAAATCTCTGGGTAGTATACAACAAGTTTACATTTTAAAGTTGTTGTTAACTGACTGACTCTGAGGAGGAACGTAGTATGAAACAGTTTAAAAAATAACTCAGTCTTGTAAAATCACAATGCCCTCTCAAATCTAAAAGTATCTATTTGCAATGGGAAGGGTTAATGTTGTAACTAGGGAAATGCTGTAAATCCAGGTGCCAGCCTAGCAGAATCTGGGGTCCAACGCCTTGGGAGTCATTCTCCTCCCTTTGTGAAGAGAACTATCTAAAATTATGACCTCAAGGACTGGAGAGAGAGCGGCTATGGCCTGCTAAGGACTAGCACATGGAACAAATGAGTAGCCCCAAGGGCTGGGAGAAAGGCTATCACTCCACAGGTCAGATGACCTAGGCTGGGGAGGTGAGAGGAGGGATTAAGACAGGAGAGAGAAAGGCTCTTTTTTCCTCTCTCGGGAGTTTCCAGTCTGCTGCTCTTGCTCCATGTCGAAGGTTGCTGTGTTACCCTGCATATCCTGAGTCTGTGGAAGGTAGAACCTCCCTATGGATAGTTGAGGCTAAGATTTATGTTTCTTATTTTCTTTCTGAGTAGGCCAACAAGGTCCTGGGAGGTGGGGTTTCTTGGCTGGCTGTACACTGCAAAGTTGCTGCTGTCCAACCTTCCTCTATGTTATCCTTTTTAATCTCTATATTTTAGAACCCTCTACCCCTGTATTTTATCCTCTTAATAAACTATTTGATCCCAAACTTGGGTGCGCCGTGTGCTGAAACCACTGACTGATTCCAGATTAAGGAATCAGGGAAGTTTTGGATGGGATTTTGCCTAAATTGGCCAGGGGAATGGGCAAACCCTGGTGACTTTCCATTACACCATTGAATTTAGTGGTCAGGTTCACACCACATGAAAAGCACTGTGGTTTATTACCTTTGATGTCCTGTTGTCTTGCCTGAACCACACAGTAGTATTTCAGCATGGTACGCTTGATTTTGAGAAACCATGAGCAGAAATCATGGGCAGTTCTACAATTTCCTGGTACCATGATTGCTTGTTGTGTTGTTCAAACTAGAAAACACAACTTGTTGTAGTACCTCTGCCAGAACAATAGAGCTGCTTGCCAAGAGTGGGCCATTGCTGTTCTTGCTAAGCAACTAACCAAAAAGGACCTCTGACAGCTGTCCTTTGGTGAGATTGTCAGGAATGTTCCCACTCCTCCTGCCCTAAGAATCTTTTTGAGGTAAGAGGAGACAATGAGCTGGTTGGTGCTAGGGAAAGAAAAACACGCGCAGTTGATGCCTCCTCTGCAGCAGGCCCCCCATGCCACCACCATACTCATCAGAGTGCCATGAGCCAGCAGCAGGGGCAAGGAACAGCTGGGAGGCAGCCATGACGGGGGTGCAGCACTATGCCCTCGCTTCTTGCTCTTGTTTGCCAAAGTTACATTCCCAAGTGAACCCCTGCAAAGTGGGTGCCTGGTTTCAGCTGCTTCCCCGGCACGCCAGAGCAAGAAGTGTGGCAAAGGGAATCTCCTGTGCCATGCAGCCACCAACTGGGTACTGCCCAGCTGCTGCTTGCCCCTGCCCCTGGCTTGTTTGCATACATGAGGGGCTTCACTGTGGCAAGTAAAAAGGGGCAGAGGGAAAATCAATTGAGCGGCACTGCTCCTTTCCATAGTGCTGCCCTGTGCATTTCCTTACCACCACCCTTTTAGCCTGAGTGTGGATTAGGCATCCCCTCCTGCTTTGAGTGGTCCTCTCTGGTGCAGGAGAGGAGGGTGCCTGACCAGCTCCTCGCCTGCTGCACTTCAGGGCATGTGTTGGTTGTGCAGTGGAACTGTTTGGCAGCTTGCCTTACTTGTGGCTGTCAAAGCAAAGGGCCTTATTTTTCCCTGTGGTGCCTCCTGGGATAACTCATGGAGGACTGAGGGGGAAGAAGATGGCAGAAGGTTGGAGAGTTACCTAGAATTATTGTCTTTCAGGCACATCCATGGAAAAACCTGCGCATGGTGGAAACTGTGTGGTATTGCTCGTCCTGATGTGTGTACCTGGCCATAGTCTGCAATGCCTTGGATCCTATAAGAAGTTAAGAAAGCTAACAGAAGGAGAGCTTCTGTGTCTCTTACAAGCTTCTTTGAGGAGCTGAGATAGAAACTCTTTGACAATATGAGATTGGGTGGAGACTGCTGGGGAGTAGGTGGGACAAGAAGATTCGCTGCCATGAACACCCTCAAATTAGATTATATTAGGATCCAAGGCTGATGTAGAACAATTCCCCCTCCCAGGCAGCTACTGCCATTGAACCCCACCCCGCACTGAGGAAAGTCCCTGAATTCTCCAGATATACTTTTCAAAGGGAGCTACAGAAGGGGGTGAAAAGCTTTCTGATAATGTTCGTAATTTAGCAACAAAACACTGTTTCTAGCTTTCACTTACACTATGTACTGTTGCTGTACACAGATACAGATATACCAATTCTTATCTCAAGGAGGTATTTAATAAGTGGGTTCTTTCCAATGCTGGTTTAGTGTTGTGATTCTACCAGGTTTATAATCAATCAGCTCTGTGTTGTGTGAAACACTGCTGTTCTCAGTGCATTTTCTTCCTTTAGCTGTCTCCCTTTTTATTAAATTCAACTGGTTTGCTATATGACATTTTACCTCATTTACTGTATTTTGAACCAGTCTGTCCAGTTTTCAAATGTGTTTAGTTCCACTCTTGCCTATCATTCCCTCAGAACCTCACCTTAAGTGCATAATTATGTTTGGTATGTTCAAAGCAATGCAAATATACTTCTGTTACTCAAATGACACATGAGTAAAAGTACCTGTTGCTTGTTTAAAAAATGCCAGGGGTTAGACTCTTCTAATGGAGTGTTTAATCTCTTCAGAACATCTATTAGATTGGTACTTGAATTGTTGTTGTTGTTAGTTGCAAAGTCGTGTCCAACCCATTGCGACCCCATGGACAACACTCCTCCAGGCCTTCCTGTCCTCCACCTTCCCCCGGAGTCCACTCAAGCTCACACCAACTGCTTCAGTGACTCCATCTAGCCACCTCATCCTCTGCCGTCCCCTTCTTCTTCTGCCATCTATTTTCAAGCAATACAAATATCAGTGCTAGTTTTGTATAACTTAAAAGTCTATGAAAAAATATCTAATTATAGATCAATCTACAGTCAAGTTGAAGCAGAGTATCCATCAACTAGTGTTGTCCTCTGAATTTGTAGGGTTACAAAACGCAAGGGAGTTTTTCAGTAAACTGGATGCCAAGATAAGTCGCATAAGCCTGGGGATGGGGCTAAATAAGTGGCCCCTTTGTATCCATACTGCCCTTCAGGCATGTAGCACCTGAACAGAATGGTGCTTCCCAGTTAGGCTTTTATAGCACTACTGCCCTGTTGCCTTCACAGAACCTTACCAGAGACTGACACTTCATCCCCTGTGCTTTCCTACCACATTTATCTTTTAATTACTCTTAGCATAAAATCCATAAGGTGAAAAGGATGGACTTTCTGCACAATGTCTTCCAATTGGTAGCACCAGGAAGAGTCCTGGAAGCACCCATAGTGTGTCTTGCAATGGCAAGCTGCTGGGTTGGTATCAGCAATCCTGGCTCCCAGCTTTGGTTTTGGGGCCAAAGCTGAAGAAGCATTTCTTGTAAGTGTAAACAGATTTGGATTCTGCAAGTTAAAAACACACAATAGATCCAAGCAGACAATTTCCCTTAAATTGCCTCCAAACAGATGCAATCTCCCAGAATATGGCCACAATTCTATATCATAAGCTGCTTAAAACTTTGCTGAATATTAGAGAGAAAACAAACAGGTAAGAACATGGTCATCTCTGTATCAGCATATTAGGAAAAGCAGCTGTTTTACAGCAACAGTAGTGGTAAAACCAAATGAATCAATAGAGCTCACTGCCTCACTCAAACCACCATCCCAGCTTAAAACAAACAAAAAATGCTAGCAAAGAGGAATGCCTGCTTTTTCTCATTCACAACTTAATTTGTGCAAAAATGTGTTTTCTGTGCTTAAAATTTTACAGTTTTTAATTTTAAATTTACTCCTTAATTTTTATTCTTGTAGATTCTAAACATATATTGTATGTCCCCTTTTGGATCTTAATGTGATGAGGGGGTTTGAGAGTAATGCTGCCAGGAGGCTAGATTGTTTCACTAGGCTGGTCTCTAGAGTCACCCGAGGCAGAATGATCAAAGCAAACACTAGACTTAGATGCATCCATCCTCTTCAGGAGTAATGGTCAGCAGACGAGAATGGTCATCTTTAGCAGTGATGAGGCAGAGAAACCTCTGAAGGGCAGCTACTGGGCAACAGCATTAGTTGAAGGCAACAGTGATAAAGGATCTTTCATAAACGACAGTGACATCCAAACTAACTGATTGGTATGGCACAAAACAACAGTGACCATGTATAAAATAACTTGGTCTAATTTAAAAATTCAAGTGCAGCAGAGAACTGGTTCAATATGGGCCCATGCTCATTCATTCAGACTGAATCTCCACTTTGAGAGTAGGTCTACTCAACTGCAAGCCTCATGGCTACACCACCTGGTGAGAACAACAATATAAAAGCCCAATGTCAACTTTAATTTCTGCCCTCTCCCACATGGAACAACACAACTAACTTTTATTGTTATTTTTATAGTTCTGCTATATAGGAATCCCAGGATTATTTTGGGCCTCTCAGTCTAACCTACCTCACAGGGTTGTTGTGAGGATAAAATGCAACAGAGGAGAATCACCCATGCCACCTTCAGCTCCTTGGAGGAAGATACAGGATACGCATGTCAAACATCCGCGGCCCCTCCTCTGGTTTGCTATCTACCGGCCCCTAGAGGCGGACATCGGCCAAGCCAGGCCAAGCGCCGGCCCTTGAGTTCGCCACCACGCGACGTCATTTTCGTTAGCCTCACCTATTAGCCGAGCACTGTCGCCACTTCCGGGTTGCGAAGCAGGCGAAAGGGCAGAACGGGGGGAGCAAGGCGAGAAGAGATACGGGTGGGAGGCACAAAGCAGGCCCCGCGATACAGTTAGCGGAGGGGTTGAAAGGGGGAAGCCTTTTGTCGTGGCGCCCAGTGGGCGGAGCCGAGCCGGACGGATCCTGCGCGCGCCCCTCCCAGGAGCTCGGCGGGGGAAGGAAAGAAGCTGTCAGGTAACGGCGGCGGCCGCCCCCCCCCCCCGTTGCTTCCTCCTGCTGGCGCTTTGTGAGCGAACGGCGGGCAAGGCCGTTGGGGCAGCCTGCTGGGCGATGTGACGGGAGCGGGGACTGAAGGAGGCCGGGGAGTCCGCTTCTTCTCTCTCTCTCCCCACCGCCTTAGTGCGAGAGTGTGGAGAGTTTGACAACCGTTCTTCTCGTCCTCCTTCCCTCTCTTTCTGTCAGAGGCCTTGTAGACCCGGCGGGGCAGTGGTTGGAGCGCTGGCTGGGTAATTCGGCGGTCCCGGTTCCAGTCCCCGTGAAGCTTACTGGGGATTCGCGTCAGTCAGTCCGTCCCAGCCCAACCCACCTCACAGGGCAGTTGTTATGGGGATAAGGGGAAGAGAACCATGCAAGTTGCCTTGGGTTCCTCACCAGAGGTAAAAAGAGTGGAATATAATTATGATCTAATGATGGTAACAGTATAAATCTAATACATTAAGTGGGTTTTCCTTGCATCATGGGGCCTCGGTTCATTTCAATCATCAACCTCTACGAGCCCAAAAATTACACCTTTTTCTACGTTGCTGTATATTAAACATTCAGGAACAGTAGCTTGTTCTCCCAATTCCTCTTCTGTGCTCCCATTCAATAAATGTGGGTTACACTTGTCCACGTGCACCCTGTTGAAAACTCATTGTAGCTATGATGATACAATTAAAATATTATAAAAATATTTGTTTTTGTTTTGCCATAACCCCATTGTCGGTACCAAAAGACATAGAAATGTTACAGTATGATTAAATATTGGCAAGTGTTTTATCTTGTTTCAGTCTATGTAATAAATTTGTAAGTCAACATTATGCTTCCTAATACTAGTACCCAAAGTTGACTAATGATAACTAATGATATTGTTCAGTGGGGTCCAGAGCAGGTACAGCAGGAATAACTTGTGTGTTTCATTGCTGTAGGATGTAGTGATGGCCCTAAACTGAGATAGCATTAAAAAGAGTCAGATTATGGGGACTGGCTTATCTGTGGGTACTAACTATGCTAACTAAATGGAATTCCCATAATCAGAAGAATACCAGTTGTTAAGGGATGATTGAAGGGGCAGCACATTTGTTATTTGTTCCCAACTTAAGTCTAGAAATATCTAGCAAATACCATTGGAAATAGAATGTTGGATTACATGACCTGTTGTTCTTACCCAGAAGAGTTGTTCATCTATTTTTAAAACTACAAAGAAATAGCTCTTCTAGGCAGCCACAGTATGGCCAGTGGTAAACCACACACCCAGCTAGAATTACCTTAGTGTTTTTACTGGAGGCAGAATTGGTGGAACTGGAAAGACACTCTCTATTTAAAACTCTTGATTTGTTTAGCTGTAGGACAAGCTTTCAAGACAATGTGGTTGTATGTGTGTACTTTGCTTCTGTCTATGCTATGTTTGCCTAGGATTGAAGGCTAAATTATGTATCTTGAAAAGCAAAACATGTTAAGCGGTCCTGAAGATAAGACACCATTGGTTGGTTATTTGCATTATTATTATGTTTGACATATGATTACTTCTGACACTCAGTTAACCACACTGGGGCTTGCTATATGTTGTATCTCCCTTTCTCCCAGGCATCTTTGTAGTAGAAAGCTTAAGTCCTACACTTTATGCAATGGGTCTGCTATGGTTTCTGGCTCATGAGGGAGACTTCCCTTTCTTTTTGCAAATCAGTTCACCAAATTTCTGAGTCCTTATAAACTTGGTAACTGGCAATTCACTGGTCCCGGTCTTGTAAAGGTCTCTGTCAATTTCATCCTCCACTTTAGTGCTTGCCCTGCTAGCAAGCACCTTTATTTCTAAAAGGCTACTTCACATATTTCTGAAGTAGTTACACCTGCCTAAAATCTCTTCCTACAGCTGTTGGCTGATTTCAGCTGCTTGTACCTTGTGCTTGTCATTACCTTCCACTGGTTAGAGATACATATGGCTACCGAGCAATGAGCAGGGTTTATAAAGGTATTAAAATTTCAAGACAGAGCAATGAATGGAATTGTAAATACATCCAAATGTTAACAAGAAGTCAGAAGGGGAAATCATAGATTTCTTGGCCATAGACTTTTGAATATATGCAAGTCCATTAAGTCCATTGCAAGTACATTCATAACCCTCTGGTATAATTCTTCTCTGTTCTTCTGCATGGGCAGGAAGGCAGCAGTAATAGATGATGAAGAGCAACAAGGGGTTTTACTGCTCTTTCTGGGCACCCTCTAGCCCAGGGGTGGGCAATTAATTTTCCTATGGGGCCACATGAGAAACTTTGACAGTTATTAAGGGCCGGGCCAATACACTTACAGCTCTGCTCAATATATATCTCTATAAAAACAGTAAATGAAACATTACAATGATACAATGAAAATGTGGAGCACAGAACAACACTATTTAATGAATATTCACAAAAACATTAACATTACATGAAAAGCAATAAATTCAATTCAATTTTATTGATATAGCACAAATTTACAACATATGTAATCTCCCAGCGACGATATATATTTGCATTGACTTTTAATTTGCCAGTGACCTCATGTGGGCCAGTCAGGGTCAGCCATCGGGCTGGATGTGGCCTGCGGGCCGTACAATGCCCAGGTCTGCTCTAGCCATTCCCAGCAAACCATGTTGAAGTCACTTGGTCAGGTTCGGCTACCTTGAAAACAAGCTGTCCTGAACAAATGAACAGGCCATGGTTTCTCAAGGTGGTTGGTTTGTGGAGAATAATCCACAGTGAAAAAGCCACTCTGGGACAAGCTATCCTGAAACAACTCATGGTGACAACCCATCATGGTTTACTGAATTGTGAGAACCAGTTCAATGACTCTTCTGCTTCCATTGTAAGAATTTATAGTGCAGTGCTGTACGTGTGTATCACTGAGTTCAGTAGAGCTTAATCCCACATCAAGATAGGATCTCAATCAAAGGATAAGGTTTGCCAGTAGTTTCATACAGAAATTTACAAGTAGGCCATGGCCCTGGACAAGCAAGAAGTTTGCCATGCATTTGTCTCGTCTGTGCTTGGATTTTGTTTAGAAATAGCTGTGGGGAGGGAGAGTTGGTTCTCTCCTTCCCTGTATCCCAGTGTGGTATTTGTTTAGACAGAATTTGATGTGCAGGTATGTCAATGCTTTGCTGAAGGCTCCAATCAACCATTTCTCTGTAAATACAATAAAGAAATGTCCCCATTACTATGTGTTGTAAAAGAATATTAATGGGATAATATGTAAACTTATGGATCTAAATCAGATTATTATTACTTTTCTATATAGTGGATTTCGGAGAGCATAATTTAGCCTACATGTTCTTCTCTGCTTCCTGGAAGAATGGCAGATGACAAAGATGTGCTTAGAGATGTGTGGTTTGGGCGAATACCAACCTGTTTTACATTATATCAAGATGAGAGTACTGAAAGAGAAGCTGAACCTTACTATGTAAGTATTCTAAACACATAGAGGGTAATAACATTTGATATGTAGTCTTTGCCTCTATTTGAAGAGCATACTATTTTTATATATCCCTTTAACAGTTTTTGCTAATTCTTTCTCCCATATGTAGACCTTAATGCGAGGAAAAATGGTGAAATCCCTGTTGCATAGCAGTGTTAACATTAAATTTATTGATTATGCCAGATCAGTGAAATGGGCTATCTAATTCTGCCACTTTTCTGGCACAGTGCTCCTCTTCCAATACAATGGAAGTGTTTCTCTTTCAATACAATATCTTGGTAGGTACTCCTGTGGAGTGGAAGGAGCCATTATGCTACAATATGCAGCTCTAGTAGTCTCTCTCGTTCAATCAAGAAAGGATAGAGATTGTTCTAAAGCAATTAACTGCCAGGAGAACATCTCCAGGGAATTGCTTGTGACTAGATGAACTTTAATGTTCATCTTATAAAATCTGTTGGGTAGTTTAAGAACCTTAAAATTTTGACTTCAATATAGTTTAACAACTTGTTCTTATTTATTTTTATTTATTTTCTGCCCATTCTTTAATGCTTTTGGAGGAATTATAAGTCATATGCTGTTGTGCCATAAAGACTCTTCTGTTACCTACTTTGTGCTTCTGCTACATTAAGGCTAGCTACTCTTGTTCACAAAAAAAGCAGCAACCTGAAAATAAGAGTGAAGTACTCCAAGCACATCTTGATGCAATAAAAACATAATTGTTCTATGTGGAAGAAGCTTCACTTTCAGTGAGATGTGCATCTGCTTTTCTTGTTGGTGATTCTCTTTAAAAGTAGTGAACCTCTACTTGTGCATAGGGATTTAGCTGGTTCATAACTGGTATATCTCTTACGATAAATGATGCTGAGGTTTGAGGTTCTTTCTTCTTTAAATGAGGTTTGAGGATCTTTCTTCTTCTTGTGCAACAGCAATATTTTGTGGATTATATCATTTAAAAACTGTAATCCTTAGAATATTTATGTGTAAGTCCCAGTGAATTCAGTAGAACTTACTTTAAAGTAACCAAAATAAGGTTTGAGCTGTTGGTATGCAATTGCTGCCTGGACAAGTAAGCATGATTTTTGAATCCTGCAACTTGTACCACTTTTTACAAAAATGTTTTTTTCTCCATAAAGAGAAATATGGATGGGCAGAACCAGAAGAATTTTTTTGTAAATAAATTCACAGACTTGGCAACCTTTAGATATGAACCGTACATGATATAGTCTGAAATCTAATAAATGCTGTAATCTTGCATATCCACAGTGGGGAAAGAATTCTAATTACTACTGCAACTGCAGCAGCCTAACTTCTGATTTATTTAACTGTCTCTTGGTGTTTCATGATACTGCACCATCATAATGTATTAAAATGACATTTAAAAAGTAACATATTTAAAGCCATACATTCTACTTTATCATATATATGAATCATGCAACATTTCTAAATGGTTCATTTTTTCTAACTTTTTCTTTCAGCTGCTTTTACCTAGAATAAGCTATCTGACACTAGTAACGGACAAAGTTAAAAAACATTTTCAGAAGGCTATGAGGCAAGAGGACATTGGGGAAATATGGTTTGAAAATGAAGGCACACCACTGAAATGGTGAGTTTAACTTTTGTTTATTTTTCCAAAACTAGTGTGCTGTGTCCTCAGTTGTAGCTGTGTTCATGTGTGTCCAGCATGAAGCACAGTCTCAGGATTGCATGTGCTTGAGAACTGAGAGTTCTCAGATCCTTAAAGTCTCATTGTTTAGGGCATTAGAATGGTAGTATTTGTTCATTATAAAGGTGCAATTGTTTAATTCATGATTTCACAGCCTATTTCTGTACCTCATCTCTCCATTTTTCTTTGGAATGACTGGATGTGTCAATGTGGGTGCGTACTAAATGTTAACATTGATGGACATGTTGACTGTAGTTAAGTCAAAGGTTCCTGCTTAGCCAAAATTGAAAGCATCTTGGCAGGAATTCTGATTAGACAAACCCTGGTACAGATAGAAGCAACCAAGGGAACTGACTGCTGTGGCACTCTTTTCTACTATTCAAAAAATAACAACAACAAAACCCTACCACCCAAATTAACAGTAGTTGAACATTATGTCAACTGTGATATTGGCATAGCAAGATCAAGCAAGAATGCTTTTTAGCCTTATCTTGCATTTGAAACCTTCTTGGGCCTTATAAAGATTTAAGCATAATTAGCTTCTCTAACATGGTTAATGCAGCTGGCAGGAATTTGCACTCCGGAAAAGGGAGGGTAGGTCAGGAAGCATACCATAATCCACTTGTCACAGAAAGCATTTGGGAACAAGATGCTGGCACTATCCCTAATTGTTATATTAAAAATCAGGTAAATACATGAGAGTTAGTGTAGTATATCCTGAAATGTCATGCTCAGAAGGTTTCTTCTGTCTTTTTTGAAGGATAACTGGAAAGTTCTCAGGCATAGTATGGCATCAGAAAACCTGCTCTTTTTCTTTAGATGTTGATACATAAGTATGTCATTTTTGCACTCATGTTATGCAGTACTAGTTAATACTTTTGTATAAAGAGTGTGTAGCATTTATAGTTGATGCACATAGATGATGTATGAATGATGATACCTCAGTTCAGTAATCCAACAAATGAACAAGCCTTGTTGCTCCTGGTCTAATGTGAACTGACTAACAAACTAGGCAGTCTTCCATTAATTGTAGCTTCCTAGCTCACCAAAACAGGGAACTATAATGAATAGCTTTGAAACAAACTAGTATATTTAACCATGGTTTGATAAGCTGACTTGTCGTGGCTGGCCATATGATTAGCTGTAGTGAGGTGGCTGCTTCTGGTGACTGATTTGGGGTGTCAAAAGAAAAGTGAGTAGTTTAATTTATCCTTATTATACTTTTACCACCAGGAAAAAGTGCTTGTGGGATTTTCTGCTTGTGGGATTTTCTGCCTCAGATGTCATAATAAATTGTCTTGTCTTAGTTTGAAAACACTTTAACTTATGAGAGGGCATATTTTGCTGCTTTGCCTCAGACAACAAATTGTCTTAGATCAGCCATGTGGTTTGTTTCAGAGTTGTTAATCATAGTTTCCTGGTTTCGATGGAATGGGAAATTATGGTTAATTGAAGACTTCCTGTTGGCTTATGCAAAGGGAAGAATGGAGGGCTGCATGTGCTTGCTCATTTCTTGGTTTAGGTAAGGTATGATTGCTGAAACACTCCCATAGTTAATTCCAATGTCCACTGATACCCAAACATGTTGAAGATGCTCTTATCATGAATATGTGATTGTTAATTAGTGACTGTTGCATTATAAAATCATGACCATAAGTTTTAAATTCAAATTCCACTAACTATAAAATAGTGGAAAGCGGTGAGAAAGAGTTTAGGCAAGCTTTTTTCCCCTCTCAAAATTGGCAAGATCCTGATTCTTGGTGCACCCACAAGTGAAAAATAGTGGTATGTGCTTCAGTGGTTTAGTAACTTTAGTAGTTGAGGAAATAAATATTAATAAATAATAATAAATAAATATTAAATAATAAATATTATTCTATAACTAGCTGTTGTTCACAGCAACTCATAAAAAGATTATGCTTGCTTGAAATCCTCTCTTTCTTTTGCCTTAGGGATAAGTTTATTAGGTTTTTCTTCCTCTTGGCTCAAATTTTATTTTAGTTTGGTCAGTTACATAAAAACTTCTTCCAAAACAAACTCTTAAAAAGCTAGAAGGTTGTCTTCTCTGTCTCATTCTACATTTAATCTTGTAAAGTGCCTGCAAACTTACTTTGAACTTATTTATCTTTATTCTGCCCCCTCACGACCACCTACGTATCTCTTAAAGGTTAAGGTTAAATCCTCTAATAGTTTGCTGTATCTAGTATACAGAATGATCATATTAAACCATTGTCTTCAAAGTCAGTTTTCAAAATCAAAACACTGACTTATATAAAGGAACAAAATACATGTCTTAACAGGTGGATTCTGTACACAGAGACAGCCTGCGTATTGCAAGCACCATTCATGTAATGTATTGCTGTGCTCTATTTATTTAGTTATTAGATTTTATATCCTGCCTTTTTCTTTTTTAAAGAACTCAGAGCTGCTTACAGCTCTTAACCATTACACCACACTGGTTTTGGTTACAAGAGTATCAGTCCTTAATATTCTCCCTGGAATGAGGGTATCTGGGACAAGAGGTTTGACTTTCATTGAAAAAAAAATGGTTTTACTTACACATAGGAATAAATGACAGCCAGGCACTCATATAGGTTTAAGTAGATCTCTTGGGAATACTGTTGGGATGCCAACCTACTCCTGATCATTATCTGTGCTTTTATCAACATAATTTTACCTTTTCATCATCTTAGCCCTATTCTGGGTTCTGTTTCTTTGGCACTATATAATGTAGCAATATTTAATTCAGCTAGGTGTTTTCTGCCAAGAAAACATGATTAATTTAGCTCTGAAATTAATATTGTGCCTTAAAGCTAGGAATGTGTTAGTATAGGATTCATCTTGTGCTGGATGTCACTATATATCCCCCAAGACTCAAGTTTGTAGTTTGGGTATACTCCTACATTCAGGCCTGAATCTAGATGACCATGTTTCAGCAATGGCCTAGAGTGTGTTTGCACAGCTGAAACTAGGTGGTCAACTGTGCCCATTCCTAGAGATGTCTGAAGTGGCCACAGACATCTCTAGTGCATACCTTACTTGTTCAGAGTACTGTAACATGCCCCTGAGAAAGTCCAGTCAGTTCCAAATGCTATGGCCAGACTGCTGGCTGTGGCTGCTTAGAGGAATACATTACTCCCTTGCTACAACAGTTTCTCTGAATTACTGGTCCAAAGTGCAGGTTATGATCTATAAAGCCCTCTAGAGCTTTGAACCAAACTGTCTGAAAGACTACATTCTGGCCTTCCATTCCCAGCACCATTGGAGAAGCATCTGAGAAGGAGGCCTTCTTGGTGGCTACTCCAGTTGTGCTTCTATTAGCAGGCAAGTAAGTTTCTATTAAGGCAGGTATTTGGCATGTAAACTGGGCTGTTGCTGAAGGTGATTTTTATTTGCTTGGATGCTTTCTTTCTTTCATATTTTTAACTATCCATTTATTTACTTTTAATGTTAACATGTTTTTCTCAGGCTCATGAGTGTAATTAGGATTTTAAATACCCATGTCTTTTGTGGCATCAATATCTTAGTTGAATTATCTACATTGAACTTTCGAGAGAATTAGCCAGTAGATGGTGCTAAATAACTACTTATAGTAGCTTTCTTTTGCATGCCTTACACAGCTTGCCCTTTTTTGATCATAAGATTGAAAACATAAAACATGTAAATGAATTTACTAACTTGATGTCATTAAATGAAGCTTATGCTTTACAATCAGTATTGGACACCAACATTAGAATTGAATTCTAGGTTCTGACTGGTTACTTTAGCTTTCAGCTCTATGATTTGATACCCACCTTTAAGCTATCTAGAAAATGCGTTCTCTTGTTAAAAAAAAAAAAAAAAAGCATTTTATGGTTGTATTGTGGTCTTTGCATCTAGTTACTATGGGTATTTTTGAATGTAATGGCTTACCCTTTTGAATTTGCGAACAAAAATCCCCCATCTTACAAGATTTTAATATACTTGGCCTAAAGTATGCCCTCACAGACTTTCTACAGAGTTATTAGTTCTGCCTGAAATATAGTAGATATGATGCTATCTGGGCCTGATTATTAAAATTCTCTCAAATCTGATCATAATATTTCTGTTTTGACTGTGATTCAGTGGGAAAAACGTTCTCTGTAACTGTTAACATGTAAATGGCTCATACTCATTTCTTGAAATAAGCACACAACTAATTGTCCTTTCTTTGGCAATATTTGCACATCCCAGGTTGCTCAGTCTTATGCTGTACTGTTTGTAAGAAGAACAAGAGATGATGGCCTTTGCAGGAGTTGTGTCTAACTATATGTGACTTATGTGAATCAGAACCGATAGGACTTCATGAAACTACATCACACTAAGCCACAGTTCATTGCTGTCATGTATGGTTGCAGGGTGGCTTAGCATGGCATCCAAACTTGGAGTGGTTTTTTCTGTTATAAACAAGCCACTCTAGGAACCCATGGCTTGTAGTAGGATGATTTAGGATATGTTTTTGTGGCACGCCTGTAGTAGGGTGGTTTGAGATAGCTTTTTCTGGAACTGGTAGGGTGATTTTAATCGTTGGCTGTTGTGGAATGGCTAGAGAGTCAACCAACAAGAGTGTTGAAAATTCTTGCCATTTTTCAATTTCTCTCGTGCTGCTACCATTCTCTCTCATCTCTTCTCAGTGCTTCTTATTTCAAGATGGATTTTTTCTTCTGTCTGTCTTTCTTTTTTTGGTAGAAATCATGACCATAGAATGTCCTCAAAGTATAGTGGGGCAAATATCTATTACAAGGAATTTTGCTGAATTTTACTCGTTTGCTGTGACATTTATGTATGTTTAGTGATTCTACTCACTGTTCTATAACCCTTAGGTATGTCTGAGAGCTAGCAATGCAGATCAAAAAAGGGAAGAAACAAGCATGAAGTTGTGAGTGGGGAAGTAAAAAAAAGGATCGGTACCTGCAGGAAAG